ACTCTTCCAAAAAAAATCTGCCTATACCTGCATAAAGACTTCGTAGCAGCTTCCTCTAAAGAGTTAAGAGTAGTAAAAAACCTAACGTTTGGGCTGGGTACAGTGACTCGCTCATGCTGTAATCCCAGCATTTTGGGAGGCCAAGATGGGCGGATCACCTGAGGTCAGGAGTTTGAGACCAGCTTGGCCAACATGGTGAAACCCTGTTTCTACTAAACATACAAAAATTGGCCAGGTACAGGGGCAGGTACCTGTAATCCCAGCTACTCAGGAGGCTGAGGCAGGGGAATCACTTGAACCTGGGAGGTGGAGATACAGTGAGCCGAGATCGCCCCACTACACTATGGCTGCCTGGTGACACAGTGAGATTTGTCTCAAAAAAAAAAAAAAAAAAAAAAAAAATCAAAACAGAAAAAACAAAACCTAATGTTCCGTAGGAGGGTGGATAAACTTCAGTTACCCAAGTAACAAGCAACGGTGATAACAAAGGCACTAGAGTTACAGGAATAATGCTCAGATTACTGAACAAAAAAATGCAGCTGAAGGAAGATAGAAATAATAGAATTTTAAAATAATACTATATATACATTTATAAATGTAGTAAAAACTTATATATAGCACTGAAAACTGAATTTGTGAATTTAATTCCCTACTTAAAGGAGAAGGTAAGAGCACTGGGAAGGGTACAAAAGGGACCTCAATTCTACCTATAATCTGTATCTTTAGAACAACTAACAGAAGATAGATGCACACCCTATGCCCTAGATGCTAAATCAAATAGGTGTCTATGGCTACAACCCATTAAAGTTTATGTGTGGGGAAAAATAAAGTGGGTAGGCTAGGTGCGGCAGTTCACTCCCGTAATCCCAGCACTTTGGGAGGCCGAGGTGGGTGGATCACGAGGTCAGGAGTTCAAGACCAGCCTGGCCAAGATGGTGAAACCCAATCCCTACTAAAAATACAAACAATTAGCCAGGTGTGGTGGTGGGCACCTGTAATCACAGCTACTCAGGAGACTGAGGCAGAGAACTACTTGAACCCGGGAGGCAGAGGTTGCAGTGAGCCGAGATTGCACCATTGCACTCCAGCAGCCTGGGCCACAGCGAGGCTCCATCTCAAAAACAAAAAAAGAAGAAAGTGAAATAAAGTGGGTCACTCCTCTACTCTTGAAACAAGCTGCACACACCTTTTTCTCATTAGAAGGCAAGTATGACACAATAGTAATTATACTTATATAGTGTTTGCTGTGTGCCAAACAATAATTCTAAGGATTTTATAGTCATTATTTCATTTAATCTTTGACTAAATACTTCCGCGAAGTTTTACTCACATTTAACAGATCACAACACTGAGCATGCTATGGTCATATCACTCTAACTAGTAAGGGCTAGAGCCTGGCCCTAAAGCTTGGCCGTCCAAGTCCAGAGTCCTTATCTTTATTCACTATCTAAACCTTTGCTATTATAGGGATGCTTGTACCAAAGGCTAATACAAGAAGATGGATAAACCTGGTCCTCATACATAAGTTCATTTACCAGGACTGTCAACTTAATGTAAGGATTTGGAGCAATGTAAAAAACAAACTTTTACAGTAATACTGATTTTGCTCCTGTGGCTGTTTCAGATTCTAAACCTCAGCCACTCTCCTTTTTGGAAGGAAATCTGATAAGAAATAATACGTAAGTTAACGTGCTCTTTAATGTCAAAGATAATACACATTTGAAAAACAAAACATCAAATGCAACTACAGAAATCTTACCCTTTTACTTCTGGACAGTCCGAACCGTGTCACAGTGCCAAACTGGGAGAAATAGGAAAAGATCTGGGTTTCCTCAAGTAAGTTAGGCAGGTGGCGCACATAGACGACTCCAGGAGTAAGTTGTTCTCATTTTTTTCGCTGAAAACATAAAGACCAGGTAAATTAAGTATTCTTTTCTTTTCTTTTCTTTTCTTTTCTTTTTTTTTGAGACGGAGTTTCCCTCTTGTTGCCCAGGCTGGAGTGTAGTGGCCCGATCTCGGCTCACTGCAACCTCCGCCTCTCAGGTTCAAGCAATTCTCCTGCCTCAGCCTCCAGAGTAGCTGGGATTAAAGGCGCCTGCCACCACGCCCCGCTATTTTTTTGTATTTTTAGTAGAGACGGGGTTTCACCATGTTGGCCAGGATGGTCTCGAACTCCTGACCTCAGATGAGCCACCCTCCTCGGCCTCCCGAAGTGCTGGGATTACAGGTGTGAGCCACAGCGCCCGGCTAAAGATTTTTAAAATAAGAAAATCACATTGCAACAAAGCTTGCAAAACTCCTAGTCCTAGCCCTCGGCCCAAAAACCTACTCTGCATTTCCACTTACCACAGCAGTAATTAAAGAACTGGCTGTTTAATGTCTCTACCCACAAGGGCCGTGGCTGAGCAGTAGTCGACTGTCTTTCCAGACTGGCACCCCACCACTCAGTAAAATGTCAGAGCTCAATAACTATGTCAATCAGCGGATAAGCAAGGACATCTCTGAACAAGCCATTTTAGATCTTCTGCCCGGAGAACGCTACATAACTGTACCCTTCACTTTGGATGCACACTGTTTACTCGCACTTCATCGAAAACGTTTCCAGACGACTGTTAACTCTCACAGTACAGATGAGCCTTTCAGCGTCTCAGTCGTCACACCCTTACCTCTGTAACAAGAACGTCTAAGTTTCCCGGTGCATTTTATGCTAAAAACCACAGAAAGTATAAGGGATGTCAGGGGCCCTAGTCAGCAAGTGCAACTTGGCAAATAAAGTATTTTAGTAACTCTCAGATCTCCAACCCGGCATACAGACCTCCCGAAAATGATAAGTCTGGGGCCCCCATTTTCGGATGCAACGCGGCAGTGACAGCTCTAACCCGGAGATAACCTGCGGTATGGGAGCCCATTCCCTCCAGCTGGCTCCTTCCTCCGCTTCGGTCACCCCAATACCTCCCCCTTACTCTCCACATGAAGGCCCCAAGTCTTCAGCGGCCAAACCCCTCCATAATGTACTGACCGGCGTAGACCCTTTCGTCTGGGAAACCGTGGCCTGCAAGCTCAAGAGGTCGGTCCCTGATTCAGGTGAATCCGGTTGGGAGACCCTGGAGGTAAGGAAGGCGAGCGCGAAGGCAAGAGGAGCCGGGCCGGGAACTGCGCGACCCCAGAAACCCCCTAGACCCGGTGCGTCTCCCCTACGCGCAGCCTGGGCTAGGGCGCCTGCTCACCTGGGTTACGCGCTTGCGAACCTGCGCCACCTCCTTTTGAAACTCGACATCTTCTTGCGGGTTAAGCGACAAGACCGGCGCGGCCGGACCAGAAAACGCCGCCATGCCAAAAGCTGCCAACACTAACTCCACGCGGCCCTCCCGGAAACGTCTGGCTCCCGAGTCCTCCGAGGTGGAAGTAGAATCAGGACCCGGGTGCCGCGAACCGCGGGGGAAGGCGTGTCGAGGGACGCGGAGGGCCCAGAGTCGGGCCCCGGGTTGGAGCTCAGAGGTGCGGCGGAGCCGGGACTGGGCACAGGGGTCGGGGAGGCAAGGGGACGGGGTATAAAATGCGCCGGGGCAAGGGCGGGGACACGAGGCGTGGCGAGGGGCGGGGCCCCCGGCGTGAGGCAAGCGGAGGGCGGGGCAGGGGGCGTGGCGAGGCGTGGATTGGCTTCGCTTAAGAGCGCCTGAAACCAGCCGGGCGCGGCAGCGCGGGCCTGGAATCTCAGCTACTCCGGAGGCAGAGGCGGGAGTGTGCGGGGAGGCAGGATCGCCCCATTACACTGCGGCCTGGGTGACACCCAGACTCGGTCTCAAAAAAAAAAAGTGCGTGAAACAATTACATTCACGCCTACTTTCAAAGGAGGTCTAAAATAAATTTCAAAACAATAGCTGTGCCCTGGACATGCTCCTCCCATTCCTTAATTTGCTTATTTATTTATTCTTTTCATTGAGAGGATGTTTCTCTCCTGTTGCTCAGGCTGGAGGGCAATGGTGCGATCTCGGCTCACCACAATCTCCGCCTTCCGGGTTCAAGTGATTCTCCTGCCTCAGCCTCCCGAGCAGCTGGGATCCTAGGAGCCCGCCACCACCCCTGGCTAATTTTACATTTTTAGTAGAGACAGGGTTTCACCATGTTGGTTAGCCTGGTCTCGAACTCCTGA